CCGAACGAGGTTTCCTAGACAATGCTTATCTAGGTTTAACCTCGAGGGGTCTCCTCAAGTTCCCTAGACCGGTTTCCCGGGCTCATTATCCTATTTCACGAGGTGAATCGGGATAAGAGGAGCCTAGTCCGTACCTCCTCGCGAACTCACATTTTATTCCCCTTTTTTTTTAATATATATATATATTCAATCCGAAGGGAGAGGCACAAAATACATCAAAGGTATAATCACATAACGCACAAATGATCTAGATGCATTACAAACTACTAGCATAACACGTTTACAATAATCGAGCATAAGGCACGCCTATCTCAAGTCAATCAATCGAGACAATCAAGGGACAAAACAATTTCGTGAATTCATATGCGGGTCCCACGTTTAACAAATCATCATCCCACTCAAAGGTACCGTCAAAATCATCGAATTCATTAGGCACAAACGTTAACAATGACGCCAATCAACATACTCAAATCACCACTTAACAATTTTGAACTTTTAAACGCACATCAAGCCTCATGCGGGGAAAGTTGACACAAACAAACAAAACAACCTAAAACAACCGGTCCATGTCACAACTAACACCAAGAAAAACGAAAAAGAAAATCACATAAGCACACAAAAGACAATAACTTAGGCAAATGTAACCAAGAAATTCCCTCCCCCACGCTTAAAACAACGCAATGCCCTCATTGCGGAACCCCAAAAAGCATACGAGAGGAAACCAAATCACACAAGCCCAAATGAAAGAGAAAAACACACAAAAGGAAAATAAGCACATAACACATAAACAAAACGAAGTGAAAAAGAAAAAGGGAAAAGAAAATGCGTACTCCACGGTGAGAAATCACCGTGTATCCATAGGTGTGTCGTCGGGAGGAAGAGAAGAAGAATCGGGATCCATGGCATGAGAATCCGGAAGAGGAGTGGGGCCCACGGCCCGAGAGTCTATCAATGTCGAAAGTCGAGAGTCGAGAGTATCAATCCGGCTATCCATGCGGTCCATTCGAGCGTCCAGTCGAGCACCCAATCTCGCAAACTCATCCGTCATGAAGGTACGAAGTTTGGCAAGGCTCTTGTTCACGGCGGTCATCGGGTGCTCGTAAGGAGGAAGATTAATTATCGGCCGGGTACCGGAAGTAGTCTCGGGGACCGCCTCTCGCACCGCCTCCGTATCAAAGTATGAGCGCACACATCTCCTGTCGGTGTGAGGGCACAAAGTTGTCTCGTTGAGGATGATTTGACCAAGTTTAAGCTCGTTGACCCCAATCGGTGTTGAGTCCACAATGTCGGTGCCCTTCTTTACCTTAAAGTGACGAGCCAAAGCCGTGATGAGCACACCATAGGTCGGATAGAACCGTTTCGTGCACCGAATTTGGTCGATGTTGCTCCAAATGAAAGGTAGGGGATTCACCGGCTTGTTGTGAAGGGCACAATGCAACATGAAGATCTCATTAGTGCTCACCTTTGACCCCTCTTTCTTCCCGAAGACATTATAATTGAGGAACTTGTGGACGATGCATAACGCGTGGTCTCGAATGTGCCCGTTGACCAATTCTCCCTTTGGCTTCATCGGTAACCCCGATAGTTCACGCCATGCCTCCTTAACATCAAAATCCGCCGGAGGAGCGTCTAAGCCAACACCCGTGAATCCAAAAACCTCCTTCATTACGTCCGCATCAATCGTATGGGGCTCACCGTTGAAACGGCACGTGACGACCTCCCGATTTTCCATAAGTTGAAAGGTGGAGTAAAACTCTAGCGTGATATTCGTGTAGGCGTAGTGGTTCATCGAGGCATATTTGTAGAGGCCGAGGACCTTGAGGTACTTTTTTATGTCGGCTTTGAGCTCGAGCTTGTCGTAGAGCAAGAAATCCATTACCTTCGGCCTTATGACCCGCGCGGCCCGGAGTTTGAGAAAAATGGCCCTCTCCATTGAATTCTTAAGCTCGAAAGGTGCATCATGGCTATGAATGGTCACTTCGTGTGAACGGCGAGGCGGTTCCTCGGGTGCCGACTCTTCAACGACGACCTCTTTATCCTTAGAAGCTTGGGTGGCTCGCTTGGCCCTTTTTTTCGTAGGTGGCATGGCGAACGTGAAAAATGAACGAGCGAGGGTGCACCTCTGTAGCCCTTGGGCTAAGTGCTACCGGAAATGATGAGCTCAGTAGTCGGAACGAGAGTACGCTCGGGAGCTGAACGGGGATGGGCTAGGTCGCTGGATTGTTGCTGCTGTGAACGCGTGTCGCCGGGGCTCGGAGTGTAAGCACAGATGTGGTCGGAACCCACAGCTCTGGTCGGAGGAACGAACTCGTCGGTCGGAGGTGGCGTCGGAGATCGGCGGTGTGAAGTGAAAATCCCGAATCGCCGTCAGAGAGGACGCGTCGCCGGTGAAAACCGCAGAGACGGAGATGGGAAGTGAACGCGCGGGTCCCGGGTGCCGTGAAGTGTGGTCGCCGGTAGAGGATTTGTCGCCGGAGCAAGTGGTCGGTCGCCGGATGCCGATGGTATTGCCGATGGACGGAACTAGGGTTAGGGATTTTTGGGAAAGAAACGCTTGGTCCCTGTTCGATTTTTCCG